ACGGAGCATTTCACCATTTAAGGTCATTCTGAAATTGCTGACGAATATGACGAGAGTTTCATACTGCAGTGCTCATGGTGAAACCACAAGTTTTTTGCTCTCGTTGATTTTCCTGTGATCAATCAATGAAAAGCGAACTTCTTGAAATTTTTCTTAGTTCTCCGTGTACCATGTTCCTGAATTTTAATTTCTGTTCGAATTTCGGTGTTACGCCGAGGATGCCCGTTCTGAAATACAGTAAAATCTCGTCCCATGAACCTGATACAAATTTGTTACGAGATTCATGATTCTTGGAGCATGTAGGGCTGACATTTTTTTGGAAAACGGGCAAGAGATGCTTATTACTGTACTCCCACAACAGATTCGTGAAGAATTCTCCAAGTTTTCAACATCTCTTGTTCTGATCTTACTGAAGTGTGAGCTGAAATGGATGAAAAATTCATGTGTAAGAAGCTCATATATTCATTGAGGACTGTATGTTCCTTGAAATTTAGCAGTATCCTTCCAAGCATGCTCTTCTTCCAAAAAGTTAGCCAATTTATAGATTCTGAAGTAAAGCTGAGTACATTTTGATGTGAGCTTTTGGGATACGGACAAATCAAGATAGACAATTTGAGACAGGGCCAATTCAAGACAGGGTGATTTAGAGACAGGGACCATTGGAGACAGTCCCAAAGCAACTCTGAGCATACAAATGTTTTTCTTTTACACTCGATTTTCTGGCTTTCCCAAGATCCCTCTTGGGAAAAGATTTGCTCTAGGTTTTCAACCTAGAGGAAAATTTTTATTTTTTGAAGATTTTTTCAATTATGCGCGAAGTGGGTTTTCCCATTTTGTGCCGACTAGTAAAATTTGTCTATGGCCCATGCGCACAAAATTACAATGAAAATTGGTTATACTGGACCGAGGTTATAGAGGAAAATAAGTTCGTTATAAATGAAATTTGTATAGCACTTTTCTCATGAAGATATTGGGACCAAGGATAAAATTCGTCACACAGGTAGATTTCCTCTCATACGATCTTGTCTGAAACGAATTTCTCTGTATAACGAATTTCTTTCTTGTCTCATGGGGTTCTCTACGACAAGATACTTTACAACGGATTACACGACAACTTGCACAGCGACAACTCACACAGTGACAACTCCAACAGCAACAATTCACACAGTGAGACAACTCACACAGGGACAACTCACATAGTGCAACAACTCACACAGTTCTTCTTTTTTACTGATTTTTTTCTTTTTTTAATTTAGGTGCCTGCAAAAATATATCCCTTTCTTGTGTCTAGATTCTCTTTTATCCTAAAGTAATTGTATACATTTATAATAAAATTTTTATAAATTTTTTATACTTGTGTTTTCAACCTAGTCAAGGATCATTTTGTCCCAAATTAATTGCTGTCAGCCATAGACAAGACTGGGGCTCAATTTCTAGGAAGAACATGGACTAATGCATGCATCAGAATTATCCTCGATTAGATTGAAAACAAAGTATTGAAAATATAGAACATGATAAATGTACACAATTAATTTAGGACAACATTATCCTTGACTAGGTTGAAAACACAAGTATAAAAATTTTTATAAAAATTGTATTATAAATGCATACAATTAATTTAGGATAAAGAAAATCTAGACACAAGAAAGGTATACATATTTTCCAGAACCTGAATTTATAAAAAGAAAAATTAGTAAAAAAAAAAGAACTGTGTGAGTTGTTGCACTATGTGAGTTGTTGCTGTGTGAGTTGTTGAACTGTGTGAGTTGTTGCTATGTGAGTTGTTACTGTGTGAGTTGTTGCTATGTGAGTTGTTGCTGTGTGAGTTGTCACTATGTGAGTCGTCTCATAACCTGTACAACAATTTTCTTTTTGGTCCCTTGAGTTTTCTTGTCGAGAGAGTCCATCTGCAACGGAATTTTACTGTATTGTATCTTCTTTTTTCTTTTTTTTTACTCGCAGGAAGGAGCAAGGAAAGGTCCTGGTCCATTGCAAAATGGGAATAAGCAGGTCAGCGAGCGTGGTTGTGGCGTATGCCATGAAGTGGCATGGCTGGTCGCTTTCACAGAGCCAGGAATTTGTCAAGCAGAAACGCACCTGCGTCAAGCCGAATGAGAATTTCCTGAAACAACTCGAAATCTACGAGGGCATCCTCGACGCGAGCAAGCACCGCCACAATAGCCTCTGGCGTTCCGTGAGCGAATCGAGCTTGCGTTGCAACGAAAAATCTCGACGAACGTCTTGCTCAAACGCCGTGCGGAAAGTGAAGAACTTTCTGTGCGTTTCCGATGAATCCCGCCGGAATCCGAAAGGAAAGAAGACCCTCGTGCCGCCGCCGTCGACGACGACGACGACAACGAAGACGGACGAGCCGCGTCCGAAGTCCTGGACGTCGCAAGACGACAGTGCGTCGACGAAACGAGCATTGCGGCAATTGAGTGATACTGGCATGGATGTGAGTGATGGAATCTCTGCAAAGCCGAGGCCGCGATCATACACGGATTCCTCGAAGCGAAAGACGAGCGTCAGTCGCCCGCTGCGAAATGTTTTCTGGCCATTTCGTGCCGGAGAGAGTTACAGCGTCTCTCCGAACAAAGTTGTGCATTTGGACAATCCTCCGGACAAAGTTCTTCCAGAAGGAATCGTGAGATCGAGTTCTGTGAAAGACCGAATCTCCGAGTTGGAGAATTGCCAAGTGAACGTGCCGGCGGTCAAGTGCTGCGAGGATCTGCCCGATCACACTGGCTTGGTTCAAACGCTTGCCAATCAAGTGAGATTTCAAAATACTGCCGTTCGTTCCATTCCATCCCATCCCTTTGGGTGAAGCATAATTTTAGAGACCTTTGAGGGTATTTTTTTTCGTGGAATAGGCTACAAATTTTCACGTCAAGTTCGAAGATCATGAATTGGAAAAGTTTAAGATCCCTGACTTAACATTTCGAGAACAGTTGCCGAAAGTTTTGTTTAGAAGTCCGAAAAGTCTTCCTAAAAACATGGGGTATTTTCATCCCTGAACTAAAATATTGGTTGATGATTGTGGACCGCAAAAATTTTTTTACAAAATGTTTACGGAAAATGTATTCAATCTTGTGATTGTGCTCAGTTTCAGTGTAACTTAACAGATTATCGTCGGATTCTCACCTCAAAATTTTCTGTGTTGGCTTCTCTGAAGTACAGTATTGGTTGATGAACATGAAACGAGAAACTTTTTTTGTGGAAGAAAATAGATTGAAGCTTGAATTTCTGCTCCATTCTGAGGAAAGATAGACGGATTATTGTCGGATTCTCACCTATAATTTTTCTATGTTGGCTGTTCGAGAGCTTGGAATTTTTGTTTAAAAGTCCGAAGAATCTTTTTCAGGACATGGGCTATTGTCTTCTCTGATTTATGGGTAGATAATCGTTAGACGATAAGCGTTTTTAAAAATTGTATTTAAGCTTGAAATCTTGCTCCTTTCACGTGAAACTGAACAAATGATCGTTGTACTGTATTCTCACCTCTTAGTTTTCTGTGTAGGTTGTTGGAAAGCTTGAAAACTTTGTTTAAAATTTCGAGAAATTTTCTTCCGGACGACGTTTATCGTCTTCTCTGAAATACTGGTCGATAATCGTGAGACGAGAAAATTTTTTTTATTTGCAAAAAATGTATTGAAGCTTGTATTTGTGCTCCATTCTACTGAATCTGAACGAATTTTCACGAGCTTCCCACCTCTAAATTTTCTATGTTGTTTGTTGGGAAGCTCGAAATTTTTTTTTTTAGAAAGCCGAGGAATCCTTTTCACGTGATTTATTGTCTTCTCTGAAGTATTGGTTGACCATCATGGAACGAGAAACTTTTAATTTCAAAAAATTGATTCAAGCGCGTATTTTTTCTCCATTCCCGATTTCCAGTGAAACTGAAAACATTTTTGTAGGCTTCTCACCTTTAATTTTTCTTTGTTGGTTGTTTGGAAGCTTCGGTCAAATAAGGAGACTCTTCAATTTACGGGTGTTAAAGTGAGGTCTTATTAACTGGTGCATCTCCTATTCATTCAAAAACAGTTTGAAGCCAAAGGAAAGTCGCTAGAAGAAGGTAGTTCTGGCCAAACGTACTGCGCCAAAGTGGTGCTGAAGCAGTCGTTGCCACGCGGTCACCGAGACCCGTTCTCTGCGCAAGTGGACAAAGTCTTCGACCGCGAAGAGCGACGCAAGGCCCGTGACCCTCATCCTGACCCGATCCGAGTCAACGTGATCCTGCCACCGCAAGTCGCGGCGCTCAAGTCTCACTCGCCTTCGCGACAGAGCTCGTTTGGCTCTGTGGACTCGGCCATTGTGGTGTCGTCGTCGGTGTGCTCGGAGAATCCGTCGCGACAGAGCTCGTGGGGCTCGTGTGACACGCAGCGGGTTCCCGTGACGCCTCCGCCGCCGAGGCATCCGGGGAAACGTCATCGCTGGGTCAATAACGCTATGGTGCTGAAGGAGGCCGAGTCTGAATATAAGTGAGTTCCACGTGTCATTCTGCCCTCGTTTCTGCAGCATACATTTTGTGGTGAATAGCCTTGGCCGAGTGATTTTGTGAGTTACTGAGGAGGCTTTTTCGATTCACGAAATCTCCGTTGTTGGTTTTTTTTTTTTTGAAGGCCAAGATTTTTTTTGCATGTTTCGTAGAAAGAAAAAGGAAAAGAACCCTTTTTACGACAGATTTCTTCGTTCTTTCGATCGTTGATGTTCAAATTAACAACTATATTCCGGTTCTATTTTGTTGCAGTTATGATGAGTGACGTAGTTGATGTTATCGTCTGATTGACCTCTTCCCGGTACACTTGAACCTCGATAACTCGTACCTCCGTATGTTGCAATTTTCCTAGTGCTTGTCTGAATGTTATTAGAAACAAAGCTTGAGAAATCTCCCGAACTCAAAGGCTTTCCCCTGAAACCTCCGTGACTCTAATTTTCTGGAGGACATCTGGCGATTATTTTATGGACAAAGGAAAGAGAAAAGTGATACAAATGTAAGTTGTTGCGTTTTGGAAGGGAATTGAAGAAGAATTGGGCAAAGGAACCTGTGCGTCCAAGTTCAGCATCCTTTCAACGCATTTAAGAAGCACTTTAAAGCCAAGACTGTGACCCGTTGATATTCCCTGCAATTCTTCATTCTTTTCCCCAAGAAAAGTGCATGTTTCCCTAACTCGAAATTCGTGGCTGATCTTCTGAAGTTCGACTTGAAGAGGTTTAGGCAGTGAAAAGGCAGCATTAAAATGATACCTTTTCTTGTTATTCACAGACCGCGTGAGTCTATAGAATCGTCTGCAAAGAGGCGTAGTGCGAGTGTGCCGAAATTTCGGAAAGGAGTACTTCCGATGCAGGAGCGCAAGTCAAGCCTGGGTTGCTTGTCAAAGGAGGAAATTGTCAAGTGTGATAACGATGAAAATTTCTTGCCGGGAGACGACGTGGTACCTTCTAATAACAATCCTTCGTACGGAACGATGTGACTGCTTCATCTCTCGTTTCATTCCGCGTGTTTTCGTTGACGGTGATGTGATTCAGATGATTTTTTCAAGTCCTCGAGAATAGTGTTATTGTAATTATATTTTGACTGACCTCCGAGGAGTTCCGTGTGTATTCCAGGGGTTTTTTTTATTTTATAGAATTCTTGATTCGTGTTGCTACGTGCGCAGAATTATTTTGCAATTTCGCGTTCCCAAAATGCGTTTTGCACAATAAACGAAATTATTGGTGGCATTCAAGTCAACTCCTGTATGATGTGGTCCGATCCGGAGCGTCGCACTTGACACAAATTTGAGCATGAATTTCTGCATTGTTGCAGTCGCCCTATTCTTGAAATCTGATGAAGTGAAGGGATCTTAAGTCTTAATGAAATCGAATTTTAAGCACTCATTTTATACTTTCTATCTTTTCCATAAGTCGAACGTATAAAATCGTTTTTCTGGGATATCTTACCTAACAATGGGCAGTCGAAACCGCTCAGTTTGGACGCATGGATGTGAATTGTTCTGAAGTGGCGTATTATTGGGAGAACGGCAAGTAACCACATCTGTCCGTATTCCTAAGGAATGTTTCTCTTGCGATATTTACGCTTTTTTTGTTTGTTTTCAAATCTCATTTTCTGGAGTTAGATGATGCCGTTCTTCTTCGATATTGGCTTTCATTATGACTGCGGTGTGCTTGCGTAGTTGGTGCCTGTGATATTGAACTCCTCGTCTCCGCAGCTACGTTTCTGCGTTTTTCTCGTTTTCTTTTGATGCATTTCAGTTTTTTTGGAGTTCTTCGTGGTCGGAATTCGTTTCGTGTCCTCGCGCTCGGTTTTTCTTGGTTTTCTTTTTCAATGCGTTGATGTCAGTTCAAGTACAATTTTCAACCCTCACTTTTCCCGTGTAGTAGGAAACCTGAGGTTCATCCCGGTAGATGGGAACTGGACGGCAAATGTTGTGCTTTTCTTTGGGTGGTTTCTGACGGGGAACAAGTTTTGTGGAAACGCAAATTGTACTTGAACGCACCACGGAAGTGTCTTCATTTCTACCCGTGCTGTGATGTGTTTTCTCTTGCGCTGCAGGAACGCGTACTTGAACCGAGTTTGACAAGGTGGTTTGTCAGAATGCAAGAATTGTGGGACACGGAAGACGTGATGTTTAAATTTATTCGTGACTGCGAGGAGAAGAATGTTTTGAAGATAAGCACCCGTACTTGCTGGATCAAATGCTTTCTTCGTCTTTCTGAAACCTCGCTTTTTTCGGAGACATTCCGTTATTTTAGAAGTACGGTAGATTGACAAGAACTTTTCTTCCTTGAATGGAATTGTAGGTAGACTCTCTTCACAAAGAAATTCGAGAAAGGGACCAGTCGAATTCGTTGTGGAGAACAAGAAAACTCTTTGGGACACAAGAACGAATTTGTTGAACAGAGAAAATTGTTTTCGACATGATCGTTTCTCCATGTGCGTGTATATATTCAATATATTTTGTCATGCAATGGATGACTTTGTGAGTCACAGTAGTGGGACACTGATTTACAATATATACAAAACTACCTTATTTTTTTCAGTATTGTTTTGTAAATGCATACAAGACTGTTCAAACAAAAATTTATTTGGTGTTACATCTCTCTAGACATATATAGCACACAGAACAATACTGTACATATCTTTGCTTTGAAAAAATGTAATGTTCTTCTATTGACTCCTGCTTATAATGTCAATCTTGCAAAATTAAAGAAGAGTTTTGGATCTGCATGTTTTTCACATATTTAATCACTGCATGCAATCCAGTAATTTGGTTTTGTGCCTTGCATGATATATAGTGTTCATTATTTGTGGCTTGTTTACATAATGACTATTTCATAATCCAGCTCAGTATAGTGAAACTGTAAATTTACTTACTAAAATTCTAAACAGAGCACATTAGCATTTGTTATATCATCATTGAGTGGAATTCTTTGCATTAAACTTGCATGCATGTGTAAATTTTTGGCTTGATTTCATTATGGAATGCCCAGTTTATGTATATATTAACTATAAGCCTTATTGTAATATGAATGCAAGATGATGAAAAATTAGCCATTCAATTAGAACACAAAGAATGAACTCTATAAATTCCAAAAAAACCATGCTGTGACTTCCCTTATGTGCACATTTAACGTATGCATATTTGTAAAATATACATGTTTCCATTTATTTATCAGTACCCTAAATATATAGATGCAAATCAGTTAGAATTCATGCACAACATTACAGCTGATCGGGAGTATACAGTATGCCCAAACCCATTCAGTAAGGCATTAGGATTTGCTTCAAATATAATGCCTCAATCAATGGGTTTACAAATGGGTATATGGGCTGACTCCAGCAGCTGGCCATTTGGCTTTTAGAAGAAGCCAAATGAATGTGGGTCAGCAAATGCCTTAGTGAATGCGTGCACTGATTGTCTCTGCAATCAGGCCAAATGCCCAATTTTTTGCTGGGATGAAAAGGCGAATCCTTTGTATACGGACCGGTTCCATGATGGTATGGGAAAGTCATGCTCATGCCTTCTTCAAAGATCAGGCAACATATGCATAGATGAAACTGCGAAATGGACGGAAATTTCAATTCAGAAAAGAAAAAGTTGCCATGATGCATTTTGCCGAGGGCTTTATTTCTCGATCCATTTTACTTGTGGTTGCTTCCCAAATGACTCGTGTTGAATTTGGTGCGTCCTCGCAGTGGATTACACATTGCCCATCGGAACATACAGTATATTGTCTACGATGATCCAAGGAGACGTTCAATTGTTCCTTTGCTGTATATATACAGCAGCTAAAATAAAAAGAGGTTGAAGACTCAAGGGTATAAGCAAACTTCGTGTACATAGAGAATAAATGTGCCCCTCAATTGCTGATTCACCGAGAGCCAAGAAAAGTCTTAATCTGCATAGTCGAATTGCGGGATTCACAATATTGTCACCACCAGGTAATTTTCCAACGTAAGCTATGTATGGACTGCTGCCAGCAATGCTGTGTACGGTTACAGTTACATGAACAATAAGGAGTGATATCCAGCACTCTTGTAATCGAACAATCGAAGGAATTCGCTAGCACTGTGAGGTTCTGATTATTGCAAAATTCCAAGAATATTTCGAGATATTTTCAATTTTCCCTAGTCCTTTCTGAATGAAATTACACGTTGTTTATCACGAAATGGAACGCTATAATATATGTGACTATGAGATCTCGTTGTTCCCGCACTATGACCTCGAATGTGGCTCTAACATCAACAGCGTTCTTTTGTTGCTATGCGCAGTTTCATGGCCTCCACCTCGTTCCACAGAATTCGGAGAAGAAATCAGTGAACTTAATCTAGATTGAAATTAATGTGCGACTTAGTCATTGAAGTGGGTGTCTGTCTCCGTCTAAAATCAGTGTACTATGCCGTACTTCTTCTTGCTTTCTGCGCTTTGTAAAGTCTTGCCATGTAGTCGGGTTTCGGTTTCTTTAATTTCGAATTGTCTAGAAGGCTCCGGACTTCGCTTTCTGACAGTGTCACGAATTTTGCTCGTGCATAAAGTTTTCTTCATGTGTCGAATAGGATTTCGTCAGTGGCAGTGATTAATCAGCGGTGCATAAATTTTATCATGGAGAACGACGCTTCCTCGGCTAAGCGGGGTTCTCGTGATCTTACGGAAGAAATGAAAGCCAATGTGAAGAGTACGTTCGCGATGTTCGAAATCGAACGTAAAGGTTTTATGGATGTTGCACAGCTGAAGGTGAACATACAGTATTTCGGTTCGTTGCTGCTGGCGATTAGAACTTGAAAATGACTAAATTCGCAGGTTGCCATGCGATCGCTCGGATTTGAGCCGCGCAAGGAGGAAGTCAAGAAGTTATTAAAGGAGGTCGACCCGAAGAGTACGGGGAAAGTCGAGGAGAACGATTTTGTGCGCGTCATGGGACAGAAACTGGTTGAGAAGGGGGCAACGGAAGAAATCATGAAAGCTTTCCGCCTGTTCGACGACGACACTACTGGCAAAATATCCTTCGCTAACTTGAAACGAGTTGCCCAAGAGCTCGGGGAAGTTATTTCCGATACGGAATTAAAGGTAAGTACAAAACAATGTTACATCGTGGTGTGTACTCATTTTGTTTCTTGTTCACGCAGGAAATGATTGAGGAGGCGGATAAGGATGGCGACGGAGAAGTGTCCGAAAGCGAATTTCGAACGATTATGCGTAAAACATGTCTCTACTGAAGTTTTTCTCTGCATTAGAATTACCGAGATTTTTAATGTCGCTTTCCGATTGTTGCCGTTGATCTCTCCAAGATTTTGCTGCCACGATCAGTTTGCCAAGGATTCCCGTTTGTTTTGTATTTTGCTTATGCTCGAGGAAGTCATTGTGTTGAGCGGATCGCGGCTGTTCAGCGCTCAAATGTGTTCCCAAAAATTAATATTTTGCTTATCCTTGTTGTATCCGAAGGGTTATTGTAATTTTTTGCATGCTTCTTATTGTTGAGGATTGTTTGAAACCAAAAATTGTCGTTATTGTTGCCGCTTAAATGAGTTATTTTGCCGAATCTTGGCTTGATCGATTATATCTTTAAATAATGACTTTCTGAATCACGCATTGCAGGTTTATCGTATGAGAAGAAAAAGTTAGAATCAGTGAACATGGATGTGAGTCATGAGAATGACGTGAGTCCCGTAGATGCGACGAAAAAATCGTGGTCGAATTACAAGGAACTTCTGGTCACGCTTTGGGAAGTACTGATCTGGAAGCGCGAGTGGTACCCGGTGGTACTCGTTGCCATCGTAACCCTCGATTTCGTGTTCATTTGGTATAATGAGGTCACTGTCCTTACGGCGGGCTCCATACTCGGAATCTTTCTCGTCGTCGTCGACATCGTCTGCATGCACTTCCACGGAATGATTGCCTCCGCCATCCCGTGGAACGCCGAACGGGAAAAAGCGTTTCACGACGTTTGCGTGCTTCTCACTCACGGGGGGCAAGTCTTCGGCCATCTTGTTGGCCGTGTTGTGCAATATCGCGACAGGAGCCCGATCGTCTATTATACTGGCACGTGCACCACGTTTCTTCTGCTTGCTTGGATCGGAAGTTCTATTCCTAATCTCCTGCTGTGCTATTGGGCATCTTGCGTTATGGTCTTGGCGCCAGGCATCCACCGAAATGGTCTAGTGGCGAAGCATGCGTCTCAGTTGTGGGCCGAGATGAACAAGATCCTTCGTCGCGTGCTGCCAGTCAAGAAGACCGAAGAGCCGAAGACGGAGTGAGAAAGACGAAGGTTCCTCTTCCCGAATAATTTCGGCTAATTACATTGGCTCGTATTTCGTTGGCTCAGGTTAACCGCGCTCCTTACATTTTAGTCGTTTCGTTATACTCTTTCTGTAAATATTCACGGCTTTAGTATCAAGGTGGGAATGAAGTCCAATGTGAGGATATGCTTTTTTCAGTAAAATTTTCATGTCAAGTGTATTTCTGAGTTCGGATTTCTTTGAGCAAGTTGAATTTATTTCGAAGGGTTTTTTTCGTGTTTCTAGTTAATATTCTCGCAACGAAAAAGACGCGCTGGTTGAGTCAACGAAAATACGGTATTAAAATTCTCATCGAGGCCAAGCTTTTTTCGTGAAGCACCACCTTGCCATTTTGAGTCCGCATTGGCACCGCTCATTTGCGATAAAAGAAACATTCCGTGCGGCAGCCGCTTTTTTTGTTGTTGAACGAAGCCACGCTTCATTTGAGAACGTACTGTTGAGCCCAATTTTTATACGTTTTTGTCGTCCGAATATCTAGTGAGCGTCCAAGTCGAACGGGTTAAATGTATTTGAAAATGGCGTAGATGCATGTCTCTTGGATAACCCGTTTTTCCCGCGTCGGTCATTGTGTTACGAGATGTAATTCATTCGCAGAAGCTTTTAGCTATCAATAGAAGGTCAAAGTTGAAACAAAGAAAAGAAAAACCTGGCAATTTTTGCGAGCGGTGCACCTCACATTGGAAATTAGTTGAATTTGTATGTCGCGTATTGAAGCATTCGAGAATTGGTCTCTCACATGTAATTGTTTTCGCTAGACGTACATTCTTGTATTTTCTTTTCGCGAATTGGGAGTGTTGAGCTTAATCTCTCAACTGCGTCATGAATTATTTCTGTGGCTGTTTCTTGTTGCTGAAGAAGGTTTTTATTTTATTTCTAAGATTATGCTTCGAAAGTGGAAGGAATCTTCTTCATGAGTCTCAAGCGGTCTGCCTGAAAAATTAAGCGACCGCGAAGTGGTGGAAGTTCATTGTTTTGATGTTGATGCTCAGTTTATGTGTCGCACTGAGAATTAAAGGAGAACGCGCTTTCGAGTTTTTTCACGTCTGCGCTTCAAGTGATTACTTCGTGTTGACTAAGCAAGTCATTCCGTAGACGTGAATGTTCATATTTTGGGAATCGGAGGAAGTTCCTCTGGGTATTTCGTCATTAGCGTTGCCTTTCTGTTCGTTCTTCTTTCTCAACGTTTGGCTATCTGCATTTTATGACCGTTTTCGATGCATACATTTCACATTTCTAATAGCGTTGCTCCAATGCTCCCGTTTGTTTTAAACCCCCTTTGGCTTTGAGTCCCTTATTTGGTTGAAGAGGGCTGGTTTCTTCCTCGAGTGTTTCCAGTCAGAAGTTTTCCCGTTTTTTTTCTTTCTCGAATATTATTCCTTACAAGATTGTTGCGGTTAGTTTCAATCGGGGGATTTCCTACCGTTAGTTCTTCGAGCGGAGGTTTTTTTGATGTCCGAGTGACGATTCCCAAATTGTGTTCGAAACTGCGGTTCTTGAACGGAGCAGAAGATGTTTTTGAGTGAACAATTTTATAAATTTTTATCCTACAGAAATTGATAGGGAAACAAAGGAAAACCCTGACCAGTGTCTTGTGAACGGCGTGAACTGACTCGCGCAAAATGGACGGTCCTAAAAACGCGTTTAAGAACGATGGTTCGTTCCTCGAGATGTTCAAGCAACTGCAGAAGTCCCAGCCGTCGCCAACAGATGACAAGAAGCCGGATACGTCGAGCAATTCCAAAGCAGCTGTTGACCCATCTACGCCTGTGCCAGTTGTAAGGCCTTGGGGATGAGAAAAAGGGATTTCTTGCTCAGATGGGCGGGGTAGAAAAGAGCTATGTGAAAGCAGGGTTTTTTTTGTGGGCAAGGCGAGCGAAGCTGTCCTAAGCGGCCTGAGCTTTATTTGTGCAGGTAGCGAAACGGCGTGGGGTTCGAGCGTTGCCTGTCGGGGTTGTGAAGAAGAGCAAGAAGGAGGAGGAAAGTTCAGAGCAAAAGGTGAGAATGATTTGCTGAATCAGACGCTCTTCGAGTTTTCTGATTTCTCTTGTAGGTCCTTGATGCGTTCCTTTCTTCATTAAATTATGTATATTTTTACAATTCCAGTAGTCTCTTGATGCAATCATGGAAAATCCGTCTGTCGCTTTGAGATTTTCACCTAAAGTGTTCAGATTTTTATTCTGTGGCTAACGTACAAAGGTAGTTTATTGATTGGCTGATCGATACTCAACGCGGGACAAGTTTCAAGATTGTGCAATGATCTTCCAGTGGCGATAAATAGTTTGAAACTTTAAATTATTGCATTCGCACTAATACTTGGCCATATCGAATTTATTCCTATTATTGCCAACTTTTTCATTAATCCTATAGAGCAAGACTTAATATCGGGGTTGTCTACGACGTTATATAGAAAATTAATTTTGAGTGGTTTCTCTTGTAGAGGAAACGATTAAAAATGAGTAATTTAACGTTAATTTTACGATGTTTCGGAATGTTCGCAGTTTCTTACACCGTAATGAAGTTTTTGGGGTGCCCACATTTTTCAGAATGCTGCTAACCAGTGTGGGATTAATAATGAAACTTTAAAGTAAAGTATTCATTCGTATTAGGAGGATCTCAGTATGCGGAGCTTGTGTAACTTTTTTGTTGGACCGATTAAAATTCAGAACAGTCTTACGTAGAGCATCACCAGCACAATGCCTTCATCAAATTTATTTTCAAACAGGTTTTTGATATCCACGAGTGGGTTAAGCTTTTGGGATTAGTGTACCTGAAGAAATCCGTAACAGATTGCTAAAAGCTTCAAATTTGACCTGCAAGCGTAAATCTGCTTTTTATTCATAGCCGAATCTACTTCACGCTGACTAGCGATGATTCTGTGGAATGAGAGCTTCATTGGATGTCGAAATGTATGCAGAGAGCAAGCGGCATTTGCAATTGTCATGTTGATTAGATCAAGTCCTTTCACGTTCGTCTTGTCCAGACAGTACTGAATTCTCTTGCCTATTCAGTTAGACCTCTTTCCTGTGATGGAGTACCCGACAGAACCTACTTTCTCTCTGAGTCCATTCGAAGACGTGGAAATGAATCTTGATCTCTACATCGATTATAACCAGTTCATGGATTTTGACTCATACTGTAATTGGATAGCTGGAGCAGTTAAATGCAAAATTAAAGTTCAGTTGAACCTTGATTACTCGAACAAATTTTTTTCAACTCCTTGTTTGGATTCCCTGAGAAGGCTTTCCCCCGCGAACCTCCAAAACTCGAATTATCTGAAGGCCTTTTGGCGATAATTTTATTGAAACTGGAACAAGAAAAGCAATGAATATGTAACGTGATGTGTTTTGAGAGGAAGTGGAAGAATAAGTGGGCAAACAAACCTTGCCTCCAACCTCAGCATTCTATTAACTCATACAAGAAGCAATTTAAGGCCCAGAATACTTTTCACCATTTACAATTTCCTGTAATTCTTCTCTCATTCTTGCCCCAGACTCAAAGGCTTGTTTTCCCAACTCGAGTCTTTCGTTGGTCCCGTGAAGTTAGACTTGAAGAGGTTAAAGTGTAGTTCAATGATGAAGCGGCTCTTTACTACGTAGCTTAATACTTGAAATTTCCATATCGGTGACCTCAATTTGCATGCTTGGACAACGCCTTCAAATTTTTCACGCGTCTACTTTTTCTTGTTCCAACTTGAATTATATTCTCGGCTCCCCGGTCGAGGTGGGTTTGTCTGCTAGATATTCCGTACATGTTGAAGACATCGACAATTAAATCCGTTTTGGAATCGGATGAGTTTTAATAACTAGTAAATCTCAGCGGAGGTAAGATTGGATCCGTTGTTGAGGTTTGTCGGTTGGAAAGCTTTTGACTTTGCAGTTGAAATTCACGTCCGTGTTCTTCGCTGACCTCTTCTTGACTGATCTAGGGTGAAGAAAAAGGAACCGCGTGGATGCAGTACATGAAAGAAGTGCGGAAGTACAAAGAACGAAACTGCGATGAAGAAACCAAAGTCCGGCCTCTTGTGAAGTGAGGGTTTATAAGAGACAGGAGCGCGTACGTCGAGACTCGAGAGCGAGTGATGTATTCTCCTCGTGGTTACGCGTAATTTAATTTTTGCCGGAGGTAGAATCAAGGGTTGTTTTGCGCTGTGTCTTGGTTCTCCTCGTGAGTGGATTACGTTTACGATTTTGTTTTTTGTTCGGCTATTTTACCTGGAGTGAGTGCTTTTCGAAATAAAAGAAAATGATGTAATTTTGGCCTGTGTAAAGCAGAGGCATCAAAGTCGAAATTTTCGTACGAATGGAATCTACTTTTCATTGTGTATCAGCGGAGTTTGTTTCCACCCGTGTTTGACTCGATTGTTCAAGCTTTGGAGCTACTATGAGATTCCAGAAGGAGTACAGTGAAACCTCGTTGCAAAAAACTTATGGGAGCTTCAGAAAAAGTATTTTGTATTGAATAATTTCGGAGAACGAGATTTTAAAAATTGATGGCTGGAAAGCAGACTTGACTATAATCAATTAGGTATTGCTTTTCTGGCGTTATCACATTTTATCACTGTTTTAAAAAACAAAGAACCTTCTGAAAGCAAAAATTAGCTTCAATCATGCATTCCATCAGTCGCACGAATCTCCTCATGCTTGGAGAATGAAGCGTGGAACCATTTGGATGCACGTTCTCAGTCGATTCCGTTTTTATCCATGCTACAAGAGCCACTTGGGTCACTTTTGGGACGGTAAATTTCAAACTGTGCCTCCCTTAGTCAAGAAATTTCTACCTGGAAAATCTATGAAGCATTCCTAATTAATTATCGCATTTGGTGGAAAAAAGCTCTGACAGTGAACTAAACATTTGGAATCATGTTGCTTGGGGGAAATCTCCATTCAAGAATTGGCATGTCAAGAAATGAATCATGATGTGCCGATTTTTTTTCAGACTATTGAAGAATTAAACCTCGTCTTCTTGTAAAAAGAAAAAGAAAATTTCATTGACATCCACGAATAAAGTTAATCATGGAAGGCGAGATGGAAACTGTGAACATTACGCGATTGACGAAGCTGAAGGAGAATTTGGAGAACTTCAAGGAATTGCTGACGTCTTGTAACGATGTGTTGACGTGGAAGAAGGACTGGTTCCCGGGTGCCATCATTGGCGTCGTCACTGTCATCTTCATGTTTCTGTGGTGGAACGAGATCACCGTGCTCACTTCTCTGTCGATTCTGGGGGCGTTTTTGATTTGCCTGGACGTTCGCACGTACGTGCCTGCGTTCAAGTAACGTAGCTAGCACGGAACCTTGGGCGTTGCACTTTCCCTCAAGTGACTGTAGACGTAGTGCGAAAGAGTCCACACAATAGACAACTAACCCGACGCAACAGTGGGTGTAGTACATAGAAGATTGATGATCTTGGAAAACTGTTCCCTGTTTGTATTTGTACAGTATTCGTCGAATTGCTACGGTGCAAGAAAGTCAGCTGTAGAGGAATGAAGCGCACGTACAATGAAATCGATGTGTTTCAGGGAGGCATGGGGAAGGTTTTATAATAATGTACAGTCGATCCTCTTCTAGTCGAACTTTGAAGGACAAGCAAACAACTTTTAAGTAAGGAACTGAGCATTTTTGTTGAGGGAAATTGAAGAAGAATTAATTACCTAAAATTGTTATTCGTGATAATTTTAGGCGTGAAGTTATTTGAATGAGTTGACAGGATGCGTAAGTTGAAGGCAAGGGTTTCTTTGCCTAATTAGTCTTTCATTTTCTTTCGAAACGCATCAAGTCACATTTTTATTGCTTTGCTCTTTCCTGTGTCAATAAAACTTCAGCTAGAAGGCCTTCAGAGAAGTAGAACTTTCGAGGTCCAAAGGGAAAGCCTTCGAAGTAGGAAAGTTTTCAATCCATTGATTTTAAGGGAATTCAGAGAGGGACTGGAAGAAAGTTTGACTTCGGGAGGCGTTTGACCTTGGAAGATTAGGTTCTAGTAATTGGGGTTCAATTGTAATTGCTTCAGAGGGGAAATTGATCATATACAGAACGACTTTTGAGGGCCCATTTAATCAGTAGGTAACGCGACTATATTGTTATTGGTACGCACGTGTTACTCTTGGGTCTTCGACCACTCTGAGACCCACTAAGTCTTACTTTCACGCTGCCCATGCGAACAAATAGAGACTGCAAAAATTATGAATAAGGGCATTTTGAGGTATCAAAAATGAGAGAAAAGAAAATTTTGAGACAAGAGTTGGAGACTAAGATATTTTTGAAGAAAATGTGTGTAGGCAATAAAGAGGCTATGTGCTCTTTTATTGAAATAATGTATGAATAAAGCGGGCGTCTTTCCATAATATTGGAATATGACGAGTTTTCCAGTATGGAGAAAAAAGTTTGGTGCATGATTTTGTGAAAAAATGTTCAGGCAAAATTGTCATGTTTGTGGGTCAAGAACAGTAAGGGAGATGGCATGGAGCTCCATTCACTTCTGTAAACTTGAATTGGTCTCGACAAATTTTTATTTTATTTGTCCTTTTCTCAAATTTCACGTGTCTCCAATTATCCTAGCTACAAGCGCCATTGCCGGGGACTTTTACTGTTCCTAAAATGTTCTACACCATAATTTGGTTCCTGGATATTTCACCGCCCATTACAAGGATTCAGAATCCCAAAATGATTTCTTTGTGCAGACTAAGACTCTTCGTTTTCTGGGTTTAGGCTGGTTCAAAGTCGAGAGAGCTCTTCGAGAAGATATCCGCTGTTCGAGCTGCGAAACCAGGCAAATACTATCTAGTCACATCGATAGCCCTGCTGATCGCTGCCTGGATCGGCGGCTCTGTGCCGAACCTGATGCTTTGCTACTGGACCACAATCATCCTAGCATTGATGCCCGGCGCCGTGAAAACTGGACTGTTGCAGAAGTACGTCGTTGAACTGTACCCGAAAGTCTGGGCTCTGGTTAGCCAATATCTCCCAGCGAAGAAGCCAGCGGAAGGAGTGAAAGAGGACTGAAGAAGACACGTGCTTGGAATCTCAAGTCAAAATCTCTTGCCTTAATCTTCCAGTAAAATCGAAATTTTGCTGCCTTCGGTTCTGCACATCGTCGTTTTGTGCGGAGCTGCAGTCATAGCTTTTCTCCTGCTCCTCCTGCTCGGGAATAGAGGAAATACGTCTGTCGGGCATTGTCAGCTCGAGAAGTCATCGACCCTTTTTCTAGTTTCCTGGTATGATCACTCGGGAGTCCCAGAGCCAGAAGTGATACGAATCTTGANTTTGTGCAGACTAAGACTCTTCGTTTTCTGGGTTTAGGCTGGTTCAAAGTCGAGAGAGCTCTTCGAGAAGATATCCGCTGTTCGAGCTGCGAAACCAGGCAAATACTATCTAGTCACATCGATAGCCCTGCTGATCGCTGCCTGGATCGGCGGCTCTGTGCCGAACCTGATGCTTTGCTACTGGACCACAATCATCCTAGCATTGATGCCCGGCGCCGTGAAAACTGGACTGTTGCAGAAGTACGTCGTTGAACTGTACCCGAAAGTCTGGGCTCTGGTTAGCCAATATCTCCCAGCGAAGAAGCCAGCGGAAGGAGTGAAAGAGGACTGAAGAAGACACGTGCTTGGAATCTCAAGTCAAAATCTCTTGCCTTAATCTTCCAGTAAAATCGAAATTTTGCTGCCTTCGGTTCTGCACATCGTCGTTTTGTGCGGAGCTGCAGTCATAGCTTTTCTCCTGCTCCTCCTGCTCGGGAATAGAGGAAATACGTCTGTCGGGCATTGTCAGCTCGAGAAGTCATCGACCCTTTTTCTAGTTTCCTGGTATGATCACTCGGGAGTCCCAGAGCCAGAAGTGATACGAATCTTGAATTTTTATTTATTTATTTTAGACGCTTGACGCTAGATTTGGCTCGAGTGAATTCTCCGAAATTTCGAAATCCAATTCTGCTTTAGAAGTACAGTATCCGGAATAGAATTTATCGCATGCTTCTCTGAAAATGGTGACTTAGGCTCGTATTTTTTATCTACCCTACTGTACTGCATTTACGGTTTTCCGGGGGAGGGCTTGGCAGGTTATCCGAAAATGTTCCTAGTCGTGATTCTTTTCATATCGTTAATTAGTTTATCTACTGATGAGTAATAATCGAACTCGAGAGAAATTGTATTGATATTAACTTCCGCTCAAAAACTGGTTTTAACCTTCTCTCCATTTTGATCGATGGAAGAAAGATACGCTTGGCTTTGAAGCTTGCCACTCTCGCGAAATCCCCTGTCACTTCCTTTTCCTTTTGTTCAATATTACTGCAATTGATTCAATATGTTTGGTTGAAAACTTATGATCGAAACACTTCTAAATCTGCCGTAGCGTTCGTCGGGGCAGTAAAAGGTTTACATTGGAATTTGAGTTGTATTCTGTGATGTGTTCTTCAGGGTCGTTTGATTTCCAATGCCGTCTCTCGACTTTTTTTGAGGTTTTAACGTAGTTCAAGTTTCGACGACTCATTTCTACTTGTCTTTCAATTCCTTCCTATAGTCATGAGAATATTGTACTGTAGCACTAATCCTCATTCTCTGATTTGCCCAAGACATGACCAAAGTACAAGAACGATTTGTATGTGATTCAGTTTAGTCGGTGTTCGTATAAATAGTTGGAACGAACTCAGTTTCCTCGCATCATGCCGAAATATAATTTTCAATGCGGGTATTGAGTTTGCCTTAGAGGAAAGAAATCGTATCCGGTTAGCCGAAAAGGTTTCGCTTGAATGTGGCAATTTTTGAAGTAACGTAGCTGGCCAGTTTCCACGCATTTGCTTAGGAAGCACGCAGCATTATACCAGTCACGCAGGATCTCCGCTATTGCAATGACCGATGAAAAATTCATTTTATTTTTTTACCCGCGGAAGCGAGGTGTATTTGCTGCTCAGTCGTGTTTGTGCGAGCTTAGGAAGCAATTTTGTGAAATGGTGGGTTTCTTTTTTTTTGCGTAAGATTACTCCCGCCGAGATTATCTCATTTGAGTGCTCATGTAGGATTCCCGACGTGCTGTTGAGAATCAAATGTGTAGTACTGTACGTGTTTTTTTCGCAGGAAAGTGTGCTCTTTCATTATCCACGCGCCGTAGAATTTCTGCGCAAGTGTCGATTCTATCCAGAAATGTTTTCGATGAGTGAGTAGGCGGCGCTATTCGAAGTACGAGGTGTTTAAACGAATGTTCTGGGAATAGAAATCGAAACGACATACAATTGAGCTGAAAACAATTGGGGTTCAGAAAAAGCATTCTTCTGCACAAGAAAAAAAAACCATGTTTGACGTGACGTATTTTTCGGCAAATTTTGCAGAAGTCGCACTGGCAGCTTTCTGCTGAACAGATGATGCGTCCATCTTACAGATTTTTCGGTCTCCGTCAGAACTTTTCAAATTGACACGGCGTAACTTGAGCCGCGGAATTTTTTTTCTGAACAATAATTATTTTTGCAGCTCAATCAAATGTTCTTTCAATATCTATCTCGAGAACTTTTGTTAGACCCCTGGTATTGCTTTAACAGTTGAAGATAGGTGCGAGTGTTTGTCGTCTTATGGCCCATCCGCCCACGCATTTCTCGTCGTAATTTCGTCAGCGTTGTTCGTTCCAACCCGGAGTGTTTCATGTCGAGTGTGCTTATGCACTCATTGCGCTTGAAGCATGAAGCGTGAGCATAGCGGTGTGCGATCTTTGTATATAAACGAGTTTTTCATCGCTTCGCTAACGGTGTTCCACTTGATTATCCTCTACAGCTTCTTTTCAAACAACTGCGTTTTTTTTATTATGGCCAGTTGAGCACATTTGAAAATGCCGTTTTCCGTCGAAGTAAAGAAGAAAAATAATAGTGTCTTGGTGAAAAATAAATTTTAAGCCTTTGCATCAAATATATACAGGTAATTTGAAAAATGATGAAAAATTGAACCGTTTGAAGATTTTGAAAAAACGCTTTTAATCGTTAAAATTAAGAGAGAAAATTGGTGTCCTTGTGGAGAAATCAACTCCGAAGCGTTGCGTCGAAGATGCGATGTAAAGATGTTGAAAAATCTTACTAGGGGAATTCACGAAAATATTCAGAAGAGTAGGGGATAATTCCTTTTGCGAGAAATATTCTATAAATATTTTTGCGGAGGTGCTGAAACAATAATTACCTGCTTCAAAAGCCTTGTTTTTTTCTAAGTAGACACCTCTTACGGGACCTGCTTTAGAACCTCTCCCAAGTCGACATAATTAAAGCTAGTAAAGCAGCTCTTTTCGCCAGTTATTGAGTAACTAGGTCACACTTCGAATGTCTGACGCTGAGTATCTTTTCTGCGAACTGATACTTTTGCTCGCTGTCCCATTCACGAGTTTTCCTGGGACGCACTATACCATTTTGAGTCAAGTTGAACTCCCCTGTCATCAGGAAACATATTTTCGATGTTTTTGGCGCTGGAAAATTGCAGCATTCACAGGAAAAATCGGCACAACAGCCCCCTTCTCAATGAAGCCATATTTCATTTTGCTATGGGTATCTTCTATTTTGCTCTTGTAATTGAGAAATTCATCGAAGAAATTTAGGTGGATCCGAAGAAGTTTGGCGCAGAATAACGCAACCTTGCGGTGCGAATAGAGCGACAGTTCATTGCATTTGTTTGGCCAAACCTTGGAAAATACCGGGAACCCGTCAGTCGCAAACGAAATGCTTCTGTATTTCTCTGGAAAGAGAAACTTCTCGGAAATGGTGAAATGGACTTTACAGACGATGTCGTACCTTTCCGTGATTTTGGATCGAGTGTGAATTCAAAGGGAAGAAGTTATCGTCTTTGCATTGCATGAGTAGGCATGTGTTTTCGGTAGAAGTGATTTTTAGAGAATGCGAGTTACATTGGAAGCAGACTTTTTGCATTAATTCGTTTTCTATTGATTTATTCTTGAAGAGTCGTGTGTCATCTCTTTCGGCTCTTCATCTTGCCTGTGTGTACCTGAAGTTCAAGCAAAGAATGTGCATCACTCCGTGCTGAAAAAACTAGAGATGATGCAAAAGTGATCTTTGGATATCATTCAATGGTTTTTAAGCAAGTTCTTTCGTGGTATAGAGATTATTACTCAGATTTTCGACAAATTCGGTTGCGATCCACTTGGTATGTTTGATAAAATATACAATTTTTTGTCTTCGAGTGTTTCTCCGGGAGAAGAGAAATAACGCATGTTTGCCTTTGTGACGTTCGCATGTTTTCTGTTTCATCATATATGTTCTGATGCGCTTTTAAAAAATTTTTTTCTAGTTTTGAAATTTCTTCAAGGATCTACCGAAATTCCGACGCGTGTTTTGCAAAATAACGCTTGCATTCTTCTCGAATGTTGCAGGAATATCTCGAAATTACGTCGTGAAAGCTCTTGATGCCGCCCCAGCGGAAGCGAGCATGTGATGAACTGGTTGAAGCATTGAAGGAATGTCATGCAAAAACCAACAAATTTCAGAGGTTGCTAGGAGCCTGTGCATCAGTGGAGTCTGCTTTTTCCAAATGTTTGAAGAAGGAATTTGAAGAACAACGTCTAGAGAACAATGCGATTGCACTTGAGCGCCGGAAAGCAGTTCGCGAAAAACTCGCCAGTCAAGATTAGCGTATGCGTTAATTTCGTAGGATTTGTCTTTTTTTTTAGGGTCTGTTTTGGTTGTTAATAGAGTGATTTATGGTATCTTGTTTATTTTTTTCATCAAAGAAAATGCGCATCAAACGTGCAGGGATTGAAGCAGCTAGTGTCAAAAGTTTAGGTTGGAATTAATCGACTTTTATTCGTTTATGTTTGGTTTGGTTCAGTCATTAATGCTTTATCTTCTTCACACGTGCTTTATTATTATTTTCTTAGGCATTATTACTATTTTTTTGGGATATTATGAATTACAGTATTGATTTAAAGCAATACAGGAGAACCTCTTTCATCTTTTGGGATGTTCAATTACCAATATCTGAATGAAATTATATTCTCAAGATGAAAAGGCGGCGTTGATTTCGGACCTGACAGAATTCTGCATTCAGAACATTCCTGGCATTCGTGATATGCGTTGACCCCGATAATTGTTCGAAGGGGTGTAAATTTGATTCCTGACTGCTTTTTTTCATTTCGTTCAATTTTGATAAGCTGATTGAATTAGTGGTGAATTCGAGACGAGATACCGGTAATTGCAGTGTTGATGTTTCACCGAAGCGTACTTGTGTATAGTCAAATTTCCTGATCCTTCGCATGACAGTGGTAATTTACTGCATGTATAAGTACTGTACTGATTAATGTATTCGACAATTTTTTACATTTTGCTAAAAAAATATAGCGCAAGCTGTTCGGCGTCTTTGAGGAAACCTGATGATCGGAGCTCCAGTTTTGTCAAGTACAGTTTTGTACTGTACTTCCACTTTGTTTTCATGATTTTCAACGGCAAAATGAAAGTGTGGAAAGTAGCGTTGGAGGGTGTTAATTTCGCAACCAAGTGAATGACTGAACCTGGCAACTTTTTATTGTGCAGAATCGACATGGCAAAAGTAGCATTTTTCTCGCTGGGAACAATAATTGATCTTCCGAATAAATTCAAGCGCGAGATGAATCCATGTCATTTTTCGGAAATTACTCTTTCAGATCTCTTTGCCAAAGGAAATTCAGTCAGTTGAGAAACTTGAAACCATGAACCCAGAGCGTTTTCACATCTTTCAAGAGCTTGGACCTGATGAAATGATTCACCTATTTGATTACCCTTAGCCCAATCGTGAGCGGAGTGGTCGTTGTTCGAGCCAAGTTTCAAACGAAACAGCGGGATCACCCGGAGGCGTCTCATTCCCTGGGTTTCTAGATGTTGTCTGCGCGGGGGTCGTATTGGTACCCGTTGCTTGCCCAGTTTGTGTGGAAGACCCGGTGGGAGAGACGCTTTGTATCCCCGTGGTACTTAGTAAAGAAAAGGGTTTGGCTGACGAAGTTGTCCATTGGAATGGGTTGCTTGATATGGCCACAGGCAAAGGTGGTTGTGTCGTGATGCGATTTGTCGTTACCCCGGGAAGCTGTGTTATTTGTGCTGAAGTTGGATTGGTGACCTGACCCACTGGTTGTGTGGAGATGGGAAACCCTTCTGCTGGGTTGGTCTGAGTAGTGACCGTGGCAACAGTGAATTGGGCTGATGATGATGGTTGAGAGGAAGAGATCTGATCCCCACCCGGAGCTGGTGGTGGTTCTGTGATAATTTCCCCGTGGGCCATTGGAATAAATTTCGGGGGTCTAGTCATAGGTTTGTTCATTGGTGGAGGAGGAGGAAACTGAGCCAGAATGGCCGGCGGTCGGGGTACAGGTCTGCTCATCGTTGGAAGAGGAGGATAAAGATGAGCTGGAAGAGCGGTGATGATGGGCCGAATGATAGTCATGGCGCTTGTGTTGATGTTTCTTTTTGAACGGCACCCTGTTGCAGCGGGGGTGACGGTCTTGAGTTTGCTTTGTTCTTGTGCAATGAGCATGTCGATCATGGCATTGGTGTCCTGCCGGGTCGGCAACCCCACGGAATGTAGGAAAGAGTCGTCGTGATACTTGATGGGCTTCTTCTTATCGGTCGTAGTGCACTTGTCCGCTTGTCTCTGTGAAGCGAAAAAACAAAGCGTACCAATTGAGAAAAATTTACATATCTTCTTTTTTTTTTTGGATTATAGTTGCTGCTCTGGACTTCCCTCCAGCATCTCCGGACGAAGACCAATACCTGTGCTGTTACCTGAAACCTGTTGGGATACCCGAAATACGAACGTCGCGACATGCGGACAATTTTACTTGAGGAAAATTGAAAATAATGATAAAAAAAATCTGAAATCTGGAAAATACATATCTAGATGTGGACATTTTCCCAGCATTCCTGGTAAAAGTGATTTCTTAAAATTTTGATATTTCTTGAACGAGTCGAGCTACTTACGTATTTACTCAAGTATTACGTGCTCTCGAGTGAGATGCGCACCTTTATTTAAAGTTCTCAAAAGCCACAGGGTATTCAAAAACTACATGGGGTAAACATCTAAATACTGTGGAATCTACTGTAGTTACAACGAATCTTGTTTTGAAGAATCATTTATTACGACGAAATCGATTCTTAGGTCCCTGCCTGATATCCACAGTGTTGAATGAGTTACTTTAAACAAGTTTTTCATTACAACAAAGCTATTTTACTCACACCAATGGCTTTATTGCCACGAGATTTTACTGTAGAAGTCCACTTGAAAGATTAATTTATCGTTGATTTTTATTATGCGAAAAAGGAATCATGGAAAAATGTTTAAAGTCTGGAAACATTTTGAAGTTGAAAAAATTTACGAGAAAATACCTGTCTGACTATGACACGTCCATCCTTTTTGCCCTTATTTTTGGAAAAATGTTTGCGCGGTATCAAGTAAATTTGGTATAATCACAGAAAAAAAAAAAATTTCATCGTAAAATTACTCCAATTCCTGATTTAAAGAAGGCCAATTTGGTGCTTTTTTTTGTTGAAATTTTTGTTTTATGTGTGCAGAGGATAGCTGGACTTGTTCCTGTTCTTATCTGATGCCAAAAGATCTTATTCTGTGTGGATTTCTTCTGCACAGGTATTTTCTGTATATCTTCGAAAATGAGAAAACTAATTTTGGGGACTTTATTTCTAATTTTTGATGAACAGGAGAACCAATTGAATATGTTCCCATTGAAGTTTATGGGAAAGCGTGGTCAGACATACAGAGAAGTCCCAATAGATTACCATAACATCATAATCTTTGAAGTTACACTACAATATTTTATTGCTGCAGCTCACCGACTTGTCCATTGGGTGCTGTACCACTTTCCCTGTTTCAGATCCTGGAAGATTGCCAATGTTGATGAGAAGATAAAACAACACGACTCGTGCCGTTTTCCAGGAGCATGCTGAGAACAACAACACCATGGTTCCCGAAAGAGAAAAAGAACAGAACAACAGCAAGCTAGTTCGGACTCGGATTCGGACAACGAATATGGTCAACTTGTGTAAAACTCGTCTGAGGATGCGGACTGCATGAGTGGCTCGTATTTTCCCTGTGTTTTTTCCTCGCTTTCAGGTGAGAACAAGGAAGTAGGAAGAGAATATCTTGGGAGCCGAGGTTTGCCATCAATAACACGGTTGTAGAGATTATCTTTGTTGTCAAAGCCGTCCTGAAGGGTAAATTTGTTGAAATGGATTCCTTGGTGTGTATATTTTTATTCGCCTTCTCAAGCATCACGCAGTGAACAAAAAGACATGATTTGAGTCATTGCTCGCTATATTTCTGATGCTTTTCGTGTATACCCATGAGGTTCATGACGAGTTGAACCAGATCATTGTTGAAAAGTTTGGAAGAAATCCGCTGATTTGCGTCACATCGAATGATGGCATATACTCGGGTATTGCTCGTCTCATCTAAAGCATGGATCTTCAAAGAAAATTTTCAACGGATCACGGAGAAAATGGAACCATGGTAATTTTCTTTTTCACCCCCTCGTTACAACGAAAAACGTTTTCCTGTTTTACATTTGGCACACCTTTGATGATTTCATTTTGTCAGTGTTCAAACCCACGCGTATTGTCATAATTTGTGAAGCCTACGCTTGGATTTCTGTCCCAAATTTCTTTTTGAAAATTTCATGAAAATCTTGTTCATCGTCATCTATTCAGCTGTCACTGTTACGAATTTCTTCGTGACTGAGCAATCTCAACACCATTCGTGTAACTCACCGACAAATTGTCGTTCAAAATTTCAAGAATTTATACTGTGACATATGCTCGAGAAAAAGAAGATTTAATTTCAATTTTTCGACCGACGAAGTTTTGAAACAATGAGGCTGATACAGTATATGAAACGAAGGGGAAAGTTTTTTTTTACAAACTTATACTTCTGTGACTGTTCGAGCTTTTCAGCTAGTGAAGTTTATTCATAAAATGTTTGATGCTCACTCTCTTAAGTTGTCTAAATTGGAGCCTGAGAGATTCTAAAAGTTCACGTTTTATAAAAAAAAAGCACCAATAATGTCCGCGTCTTCAGGGCCCCACTGTATTGCATATTTCTTTTCAACATTTTAGTTTGCACCAGTCATTCTTGTTTGGAGTTGCTGCGATATTGACGTCATGCAACCCTCAAGGCTTAATGGTCCACAGCTGGTTCGCATTCTTATCCTTGCCTGATGAGGGCCTGGCTGATTCAACTCTCGCTACCAAGTCATCTCTGCATGCCATCCTGATGCGCTCCACAGTCGCGGGACAATGCAGCTGCAAGAACGTGTCCTGCTCTTCTGAACAATGCTGTTTCCTGTAATCAGTGACGGCATTGCGAATGGCGAAATACGCCGCAGCGGACAAAAACAACGGCGGTTCCCCGACGGCTTTCGAACTGTAAACCGCCCTCGGAGGCACGACGCCGCCGTCGTCTTCCTCCCGATGCTCGTCCCACTTGAGCAGGGCCACATTCATGACGCGGGGCATGTCCGACACTGCGGGAATCTTGTAGTTGGAGGGGCCCTGAGACACGACTCTGCCGTCCCCGGCGCCCCACAGCATCTCTTCGAGGGTCCACAGGCCGAGCCCCTGGGCAAAGGCGCCTTCGATCTGGCCCACGTCGATGGCTGGGTTCAGACTCCGGCCCAGGTCCATGACGATGTCCGCACGGAGCACCCGGTGCACTCCGGTCAGGCAGTCCACTTCGACCTCGGCGCAACCCACGCCGAAGGTTTCGTAGGAGTATAATCTGCCGTCCTTGGACTTCCAGGATTTCTTGAGGCCCGTGATGGAGTGGAATCCCGTGGCGGACAGGCTCACCTGCACGGATGTGATTTTAGTGACGACATGTGTGGGCAGCAGAACCATATTTTCTCTTATGTTGTGTGTGATACCCAACCTTTTTTGGGCCGCGGACCAGCAAAGTTCTATAACATTTTTTTATTTGGAAACTGGCAAATTTCCAATAAATAAAAAATTCTGCAGACTGGCAAAGTTTATGATACAATTCTTGGAGACTCAAAAAAGTTTTTCTGTTTTTTTTTTTTTCAAAAATCAAGTGAGAACAAATGGAGCAGCATAGTGGAATGGGTTCAAATTTTAGAAAGGCGGACTTGAGAGGTTTTTCAGAAATAAAAATCAGAATTGGTGAAAATTTGTCTGAAGTGTTCTCAATAAAGAAAAGCCAACTTTTTTTCATCAGATAATTTCAACTGCCATTCCTTTCCAAATTTCCAAAATAAAGATAACTGAATTTATTGCTACTTGTGACGCATTTCTTTTGCTGAGGAAAATTCCCTGCAAACCAGCAAAAAACTTTGGCAAAATGGCACTGGTCCACAGATCACAGGTTGGGGAACACTGCTCTAAGAAATCCCTGCTGGTCTCAAATATAGAAGCGCAGGTCTCAGAAAATTTGAGGCAAATAATAGCCAGTATCTGATACAGTGGACACTCTTTCTCTATAATGAAATTCACAAGACCAGAAAAACATTTGTTGTGGAGAGAATTTGTTTATAGAGAACACTTCTAATATGAGGATAAAACCCTATGGGACCACAAAAGAAATTAGTTATACAGGGAAATCTGCTGTGGACTAAGGGTTGTTGTAGAGAGAGTACACCTGTATACTGTAAAAGGATATTGTCCAGAGTAATTTTGTCTCCATTAGAAATATTTTGTTAGTCTGATTATCCCCTGTAGGGTTCCTTCCCTTTGTTATATTGTTTCTCTGCAGAAGAATCCTCTCTGCAATGCATTTTTCTTGTCCCCTGAATTTTGATGCAGAGAGTGTATCTGTTTAAGAAGACAGGCCAATTGGGAAGAAGTCTGAGAATTTTTTTAAATCAAAAGAATCCTGAACACCCATGTGTATCAAGAGAAAGAAACCCTTTCCCATCATCATCAATTCTTATAGCATTCCTGTCTCATTTTCCAAAAAAAAAAAGTTGCTATTTCAGGTTAATCCTATTCTTCACCTGGATTCTTTTCATCATTGCTCACATCAGGATTAACTGTTTTAAATAAGCGACACATCTCTGGGAGATGAGTCCAAGATGTTTTAAGAAATGCTGGAGGTATTTATCAGATAATAAAATAATGTATTGTATATTGGGAAGGCCCAATTAACTAGACAAACTCCACTATTAACACAACAGATATTCAGTCAACCGTGTCCAAAGAGTTGATCATTGAGAGGATGCCAATATTATAGAGACCATTCTTGTCATAAAATTTAATTTTTGACTTGTGAATTAATGATCAAATACAGTGGGGCCCTGATGTTTATATACATCTGATGCCCTGATGTACAGATGATTCAACTAAGGGACGCCATTATGCCACTAACCATTGCTGCGTAAGCTGCCGAGACCCAGTCGTCCCAAGTGCCCTCGGGCTGCTTGGCTGCGAAGTCGGCCAGTCGTTGGGCCAGCTGCTCGCACGCTGCCTGCACTGCGGCCCCGTAGATGTCCGACGTCATGCTGGCTGCACTGGGTGAAGTGTTGGGGACGTGGCTCGTTGTTGTTTCGCCAACGTGGATGCGTCCAGCGGGCACGGGAACCAGGCTCGTCTTTCCTGGGACCTTGATTGCCAGCGCGCGAGTCGCCACCTGTTGGGAGAAAAACCCACAACATCTGAATGCATTTCCCAATGCTGGCGCTGTATATACAATAACAATGTTGGCTGATTACAATGGGTTCTTGGTTCATAAACTATTTGGATGACAGACTTTGCATTTTGACCTTGGCCAACAAGCCATGACTTGGTTTACAAACTTTGGGGGTTCAAAAGTGGGCCTCCCAAAAATTGCACCCCCTTTGTTCTGGATTTGTACTAGCATATATTTTGCAGAGGCTATTTCTTGCTCTTCTACATGATTGAGGTTGGAATAACAAAATTAGAATTATTTTTGCAAGATTTTGACTTTTAAACATCTGCGTTTATTTTTGCAAATTTCTTTTTTGATAAGTTCCCTTGATCTGATTTTGTTGCTGACAGTGTTGCCATTTTATATGTGCCTTTTTTAAATTTTTAACCTAAATGAAGCCTTTTTTAACTGTCCTCTGTGTTGTTTTTTCTGTAGAGAAACAGGTTGCTCAGAAGTGCTGAGTGAACGAAGTGTGTGAAAGAATTGACTAAGAGGCCCAAACAAATTTACTGAATGCATTTTTTTTGTTCAGAAAATTTTGACACCACCGGCTCTTTTTGGCATCATTTTTATAGGCTCCTGTCTTCATCAACACTTCTTTGAGCTTCTCTTCAATTAAAAATTCTTGAATTTTCAAAATCTTAAAATCTTGAGCCCAGTATAAATCTAGGGGTACCAATTTAATCGATTTTCATGGATACTTGGATCTTAGAAGGTTCTGGAACCATTTAAAATTATTCCTGTATTTTCTTGGGGGAAAATGTGATTTAGGTAACAAACTATTTGGTCAGTAAAATTTATTCAGGAATGGATTGAGTTTGTAAACTCAGTGTAAACCTCACTGTACAATTGAATCTGTTATACCAAATTTCAAGGGACTAGCAAAAAAATTTAAATGGCTTCAATAAGTAGAGGTTTGAGTTACAGAACCAAGTATTTTGGTTGTGATGGTAAACATAAACAAATGGAAATGGTGATATTTTGGCATTTTCTAGGTCTTAACTTGCTTATTAAATGAGTTGACAGGATGCTGAACTTGGAGGCAGAAGTTCATTTTCCCAATTTATTTTTTCAACTTTTCCTTTCAGAACAGATGGAATTCTGTTTTTAATGCTTTTTTCTTTTCTGTGTCAAGAAAATAATACAGTACTCAATACATAAGGCCTCAGAAAATGTTACTTGGGGAGGTTTGAGTTATTGAGGTTCAACTCTTATTTTGACCAATCGTTTTTTATTTCTTTCTCTGAATTGTTATTGTTATATACTGTATCCGTACCTGGATGAGCTTGATGTTGAGGCCCTGGCCCATCTCCACGCCCCCGTGGTGTATCAACACGGACCCGTCGCTGTAGATGTTGACCAGAGCCCCGCCCTGGTTCAGCATGGCGTGCAGAAACGCGACCCCGTAACACACCGGCACCACCGCCAGTCCCCGCTTCACGTGCTCGTGCGTCTCGTTGAACTCCTGCACTCGGCGCTGCCTGGCCCAGTAGTCCGACGACGTCACGCACTCGTCCCAGCACCGCTGCAGCGGACTGTGCACCACGACGTGGTCGAAGAACAAGTTATCCCCGGACCGCAGCAGGTTCCGCTCCCGCACCAGCTCCACGGGCAACCCGGCGGCCCGGGCTGCGTGCTCCAGCCACGTCTCGCACACGAGCATGGCCTGCACGGCGCCGAAGCCGCGAAACGCCGTGCTGGACGACAAGTGGGTCTTGAGCACGGTGCCCGAGCAGTGCACGAGCGGCACTCGGTAGGCGTTGCACGAGGCCACCATGGCCCGGAGCATGACGCCGCCGGACAAGTCGAGCGAGTAGCCGCCGTTGGCAAAGAGGGCCAGGCGGGCAGCGAGCAGCTGGCCCGAGCGACGGTCCAGGGCCACGACGTAGCGGCCGAGGAACGCGTGTCGATGGCCCGTGAGTCGCATGTCCGAGTCTCTGTCGAGCACGCAACGCACTGCGCGGTTGAATTTGCGCGCGGCGACGGCGGCGGGACACGCGACGAGGAAGGCGGCGCTTTCTTTGCCGCCGAACCCGCCGCCGATGCGACGCACGTGGACTTGGACGCGGTGGCGGGCCAGGCCCAGGGCGCGGGCCACGAAGGTCTGGATGTCGCTGGGGCCCTGGGCCGAGGAGATCACGTGGATTTCCGCGCGTGGCCCGGTGCCGTCGACGGGCCAGGCCAGGGCAGCCTGGGTCTCGAGGTAGAAGTGCTCTTGGGCCCCGGTCCTGGTCTCTCCGCGCACGACGACGACGTCGTCGTCGTCGGACGAGTCACTGCTGCCCCGGGCAAACACTGAGTCGACGTCGCCGTTGCTGTGCTCGTCGTGGTAGAGGATGTAGTCTTGGGGATTGGGCATCGCGAGAGCGTCCTCGATCGTCAGTGGCGGCGGCTGCTGATCAGTGGCGGCGGTGTCGTCTTCGTACTCGACTTGCACGAGTTTGGCAGCTTCCCGGGCTACGAGTGGGTCGGTGGCCAGGATCCCGGCGATGATCTGTCCTTGGCTCGTGACCGACTTGGACCTGAATACCTGCATGCCAGCAGCAGGAATAATAAATCATGTACTGTACAGTCGAATCCCAATAAGACGCCACCATTTGTCCAGAGCAATTTTGGTGGTTTAAAGAGGTTGGTGGCTTATCAAATGTTTAATTTTAATCATTTTATAAAAAATAATCAATTTTCCTCCAAAAGTCATAGAGATACAGGTTATGTAAGAAACTTCAGTAATTTTCCAAAGAGTATTGCTGTGATCAATGAATTACTGTTTCAGAAAATGAATTTTGCTGCATCAATTTATTCAAATTTTAAGATAAGGTCAATATAATTTTAAACAAAATGATGATGATTATTATTTTTTGTACAATTACAAGATCCTTGGCAGAAATTATAATTCTACCCCAATGTTGGCGTTGTAACAAAGACAAAACTAATTGGAAATTTGGAAACAGCACGTTTGTTTCATCACTAATGCTGGCAGATGGCGGTTGGCGTCTTATCAAGGTTATCTATAGAATTTAACATGGAGGAGTTTTGTTTCATTCAAAATTTTGGCGGTTGGCAAGGGTGGCGCTTTATTGGGGGGCTTTTCAACGGGGTTTGATTGTACTAAAGTAAGCAAATAATCTGCAATTCCAATTCAGACGCGAGAAAGAATAATACTGTCAACGAATGATAACAATAATATAGGAGTTGAACCGCGAGTTAGTGCCATCTTTTGTCATCCTGGGCCCGGCACATTATTTGTGGCATTAAAAATTGGGAGTGCTGTATTGTATTGGAAGGAATTTCATGAGGGCTTTTATACTATGGGTAAAACAGGCGTTTTTTTTATAATTGTTAGGCCATATAGAGTATGTTGTACGTAAAAGCCTTGCAAAATAATTGGAGGCTCAAGTGAACTCTTTTCATTGCATTTACATTTTTGTTATTGTACTGAATATATTGTATTTTTGCACGAACTTGGTTGATATTAGAAGAGTGGAATAGTTTTCTGCAGTTTTCTGTCAACCTTTCCATGAAAGCACACAATTCCCAAGGACAAGGGCAGTGCTTTTTTGAACTTTTTTTAGAAGACTACAGTATATAACTTTTTGAGGCATTCTTTGCTGTGGGTGATATTCAAATAAAATCACCCACTTACATGCATATTCAGAAATAGTATTTTTTAAATTATCCTGAACATGGGCATGTGATTCTCAGCAATAAGCTAATGATATCCCTAGAAGTAAGTCTTACTTTTTGTGATATTTTTGAGTTCCTAAATGCAGTATACAGTATATATATTTTTTTTATTGAAGACTGGAAAGTTGATGTGGCACTAAGTGAGTTGGCAATAAATTGGGATTTCGTTTAAGCACTAAATTGGGGGTAATAAAAAAGGGTTGACCCTAATTAGTTGTAAGAGTGCAGAGGGGCATCTCAAAAGTTTTTTGGAGTCTCCAGCTGCAAATTATCATTGTTGGTGCAAAAGCAAGTTGGTTGTCAAATTTTTAGCAGCAATTTTCTATGAGGTCAGTTTTTAATTTCAGATCCAAGCGCTTTTCTCTGCTGTATTTGGATGGCTTTATTTGAATATCCTCCACATCAAAGATCACCTCAATAAGTGATATTGTCTCTGTAAAAAAAATTAAAAATCACTCCACCTGGCGTTGGAATTGTTATTGGCTTTCATTGAAAGGTTGATACAATACTGCGAAGAACAATTCCACTATTAATTGACCCAATTTGTGAAAACATTTAATACAGCAGTGAGACCCTGAGATGCAGACATAATTGGTGAATAAAGAGTGTCCCCAAGTCAAAATGTTCCTAAGTTGAGTCTTGTTTTCCCATAGACTTACATTATATAATTATTAAATTGTGTTTAATGGAGGTAATATACTTCAGAATTCCCTGAAAAAAATGTTTGCCACTTGAATTTGAATTAGTGAATATATTTTCAACTCAATAAGAACATTTGGAGCATTGAATAGTGTATCTCTGTACTGTACACTGAAATTTTGGCATCTACAAAAGTAACATTCAAGTGAAAACAAGGTAGAAGTCCCTCATGCTGTAGGTAATTTTTTTTAAATTAGCTAAATGGATGGTAATTTTGTGAGAGAAATGCCCAAGAACTTTTTTTGCATCAATTTTAGGGTTGGAAATATCTGTTTCTTGTAATTTGGCCTGAAATGTACTTGCAATTTTTTCACAAAATGTCCCTATTTTGAGTCAGTGTCCTCATTTTGGGCCATAGTTATTAATTTTTTCTGGAAAAAAGTGTCCCTATGTCGAATTGTCCGCAGGTCGAAGCGTCCGCATCTGGGGGTCTCACTTATATATGCTTTACTATAATCTATAACATGAACTTGAATGCAGCGAAAAAAGTTCATTTGAGCCTCACAATATTTCGCAAGGCTTATTCTTTTTCGTGTATCAATTTTCTCGTCAGGTTAAAATTTGGGTTGCGGCAGAGTAAAGTTCTTGAAGAACCGGTGTCCCGCACCTGTTCGTCATTTCCGATGCCAGTGACGTTGTCGTGGACGTCGTCAGCAGTGACGATGCCGACGACACCCGGGAGTTCGCCGTGGAGTGCCCGACTCGCGTCGATTCGCTTGATGATGGCCCTGGCCCTCGTGCTCAGCACCAGGGCCATGTGCAGCTCGTTCTGGCCCATGGCCGGCGTGTCGTCGGCGTAACGGGCCTCCCCAGTGGCCTGTTGCAGAGCTGAGGCGTGCACCAGTGGCCTGCCGACTGCGTCTGATGCTGTGTCATCCTGCTGAGAGTCGCCCGTTGCCTTAAAAAAAAACACACACAGAAAGCGTACTTTGATTCAAGTGTGTTCCTTTTTTTTTAAACAACTTTTTGGATGCATTAACAATTAAAAACATGGTGGGGAAAATACTTCTTTCGGCGTTGTGCATCAAACTGCAATTTTGGGAGGAAATCCGGTTATAACTGATTTTTCATTATAACTGATGCAGTATTTTTTAAGATTTTGGGACAGATGTCTGCGTATCAGTGGGGAAATTTATTTATCTTTATTATTATTAATTTTCAAGGTTCATTGCAAAAAATTTCTTTTTGTGGCGATCTTTCTTACTTCCATCGCTATTCCTGGAATTTTTGGACTGCCCTTTGAATTTTTTGGTCAAGAAATAAGGAAAGAACAGTTAGTAAAAAATATAGTATGTGAAAAGCTTACACTGAAGTGTAAACAAGGTGGATTGGGAAGAAAATGAAGTATTTCAACACTGGATGGATTGGATCTGACTCTGTTTCTAGAGGAATGTTCAATTTTACTTGAAAATCTTTTTCATTTCTACAGTGACATTTTTTATTTGCTGAAGACTGAATTTGGCCAACCAAGGTAATGGGCATCCCATTTCTAAAAAAATCGACCTTTTATTAATAAGCTCTCAAAATAAAAGAGGCTTTATGATTAAAATGTTTCCCTGACAATGATTTCAACAGATTGAAAATGCATCTTTGATTTAACACAGTACACAGCTCAATCTGATCCCAACTTGAAATAAATTATGGGTTACTGTTGAATTCTTCATATCAAACAGATTTTCAGGTACTGACTACTGGTTGCTGCTGATAAAAAAGGCTGAAGTAAAAAAAAAAAACACAGTTCAATATTGCTCCACTCATAATTACACTCACTGGAACATGGTACACTTGACTGCTTTGTGGCAAGCCATGGTCATGCTCATGGTCCTCATAGTCATAATATTTGGGGCGTTCAGGTGAATCAAGGCAACTCAACTCCCAGTCCACATGCTGCCAGAATTTGCAGAGGAAGCTATTTCCCAGCCACAAACAAGTTGTGAAGAGAAAAGAAAGAATGTTCGTCAAATGATGTAAATATTGACCCATCATTAAATGTTCTCACCTGAGCACCAGAGTGCGTCTGTAGTCAGTCATTCCACCAGGTGCAGCTGGATCCAGAGGCAAGTCTTCCAAGAGCAGACTCAGTGCAAGCTCTTGGCTTTCTTTGTTCCACTCCCTGTTATTTCCCCATATCATGAAATGTTGAAGATTGTACTCCATGAGAAAATTAAACTTTTCAATTTTTTAAGGTACCTGCTGTATGCAAGTGAATAAAGTAGCATGTGAGTTTGGGTGACTCATAAGTCATAACCAACTTCATGCTGTGGTGTACTTTTGTGATTTCCAGTGACAACTATCCCCTTCAAGACTGACCTAAGGAGGATGAGCAGTTGATGCTGCTCAATTTTTTAAAGCTATTATGATTGTAGGAGAGCAGTTGAACGTTTAGATTACTACAAGTAGACTCTCTGTAAAACGATTTTCTCTGTATAATACTTTGTCTCTTGGTCCCATAAGGATATTGTATATCTGCCAATTTTATCTGGGTTCTCTGCGACTAATGTTTTCTGGTTCATTGAATTTCATTGCTGAGTGCACCTGCATATTGGTGGGAACTAGGTAGTAATGAATCTTGATGCTAGAATATATTTTTTTAAACTTTTACTTCAAACAGTTGCTCATGCATTGAAAGTGGAGTTCAACATACAAAGCATATCCTGTTTTTAAAATAGCTGTTATACTTCAAGTCTAGGATAGGTCATACCATTTTTATCACATTATTGGTAATAACTGTGTGTCCATCAGGTTATCAAATTTTGAAATGACATTGGTATATTTGGACAATTGTTTTAGGATTGTATTGCTTGAATGCGAGCAACAGCACAGAATGGGAAGGGCTTGCATCAATGCCGCCCATTTTCATTTGAATTGCAGCTGTTGTAAATACTGTATTGCTGCTTTTGTATTCCCTTTGTTTTTACATGCACTTGATGCTTAACTGAAACTTGCAAACACACTCAGTTTTTAAAAAAGTTACATACACTATTTATGCACTCTTTTGTATTGGAAAAAAATCTTGAACAAAGGTACTCATGCTTAGATGCTTAGACAGAACGCCCATAAATTACTGTCTATGTTAAAAGTTACTCATTCTGACAAACTATCCAATTCCCGTCTGATCAACTTTTTTGAGGAATGTAAAAAAATTCTCCAGGTAGAGTATTTCTTGACTAAGGCAGACAAACTCTGAAATTTCTGATCACAAATGTGATTACTGCTTTTCGTGGCACAAATGGATGCTAGGATCAATGAAAAACATGTTTTCAAAGAGTTCTGCTTATCATCCTCCCAGAATGAAGATATTGGTGCAACTGTTTTAGTTCATGATTGAAGCTCATTTTTTCCAAAAGATCACTCAGTTTTAAAAACAATAATCAAAAATTGGAGAATGCCAGAAGAGCAAGATACCGTATTTACTTAAGTACCATTTGTGCTCAAGTAAGGCGTGCACAGGGGTTTTTCAGTTGAAAATTTTGGAAAAATTGTATCCCCAAGCAAGACGTGCACCCCAATTTTTAGTGAATCTAAAACCATAAAATTTCAAAAATAAAAACAAAAAAATTGACTTTAGGCCTGCATTAAATCCCTTACATGGGAGGTCTGTTAGGCGGGGGGCCACTGTACACCACTATATATGGTACCTTGCAATTTGACTCTAATCTGTTGCCAAACTAGGGTCAAATTGCAAAGAGGTCAAATTGGAAGACACTTTGTGAAATTCAAAAATATCAGTACAAAAATGAAAAAAAAAGTTGCCAAAGCAGGTCAAGTTGTGAGGCAAGGGTGAAATTGCAAGTTAACCTCCTGGCAAATTTGACCATCAAAGTGCAGGATGGTCAAATTGTGGGATGTCAAATTGCAAGGTACCACCTGCACTTTGACGGAGTGCTGAGACAGTGGGATCTCTATTTTCCCATAGACTTCAACAGACACTTACTCAAGTGTTTTTTCAGTTCATCAAAAAGTAGGAATGAATACCCCAAAAATTAGAACAACATTTGTTTCTCAACTTAAATATACAGAAGATCCCTGCATGAAAGGAAACTGCACAGAATTTGATCTTATGGCATCTAAATAAACCCAAAAAAGAAACAAAAAGTACAAGTCTTGCTCTATTGTGCATAGATGATGGAGAATAATATACAGTACTCAGAAAAAAGAAGCACAAAATGAACCATTTTTTTATTGGAAATTCAAGTAAATATATAATGAAATTCATTTTTAACTTGTATGAATATGAATAGCTCAATTAGTTCAAGAGGTATCAAAATTGTGAAGAAAAAAATCAAATATTCTAGGAATGATGCAGAAAATTGCTCAAATGTTGAGATATTGTCCAAATGCTGGGTCAGATTTTTCAAAGTTTCAGTGTCCCCAAGTTGAATTGTACGAAGGTTGGGGTCTCCTTGTTGTATGTATATATACAAGGGGTCTCACAGAAGTTTTCAGAATATAAATTGAAATGGCGTACAATTGAGCTGGAAAGCAAAAAAAAGCAAAAATTCTTTTGGCACAATAAAAAAAAAATTCAGCCCCATTCGAAAACTTTTGCTTGATTACCCTGGCAGCTTTCTGCTTTTTACTCAATAGATGAAGTGTCCATCTTGCAAATGGTGTCACCCAGCTTATCCTTCAGATTTCTTGAAATTGACATGGCATTAACTCCAAGGGTTGCCTCTTATACAGGTCGTTTGAGGTCATTCCGCCATTTCCATCAACAGCCGCCAGTTAGGATGAGATAAGGCGGCGGCTGTGAATGCGCAAATATTTTGCAAAGCAGGGCTATTTTTTTCTCCTGCCGAAGAATGATTTACAGTATTTGAACAATAATTATTTTTCAGCCCGATTTTTTGTGTGCCGCTTTAATTTTTAATCTGATAAGTTTTGTTAGACCCCTCAAACGAAGATGGTCGAGGACCAGCACATGCTTGTATGTCATTATGTGCACTGCTAATTTTCTGCGAAGTTCATGATGGAAAAGTACTTACAGCCACGTTGCGTATTTGCTTGCCAGCAAACCAGTGAAGCATGGACAGGAACTCGGAACAGATATTCCTTCCTAGTCCTATATATTCACAGGAGTGCAATAATATGTATTTTACTGTACAGTACTGTATAAGACATAATGCGTGCAGAAATTATTTCATCAGCAATTTTTCAAGGTATGGACAGAAGTGCGCCATACTTAAGAAGAAGTTTTGTCATGCCATTGGAGCCTTTTTTTAGGACAGCAGTGAATGTCCTATGACTGCTTTGAGCAATGAACAGTTATATGAAAAGATCTAGGACTG